AGAGAAATTAAGGAGTCGATCCCACTTACAATTGCACCCAAAATCATAAGATACCTTTGAATAAATCTAACCAAAGAGGCAAAGAATCTGTACTCAGAAAACTATAGAATACTCATTAAAGAAATAGAGGAAGACACAACAAAACGGAAAAGCATTTCATGCTCATGGATTGGAAGAACAAATTTCGTGAAAATGTCAATGCTACCTAGAGCAATCTACACGCATAATGCCATCCCTATCAAAATACCATCAACTTTTTTCAAAGAAATGGAACAAATAATCCTAAAATTTATATGGAACCAGAAGAGACCCCAAATAGCCAGTGGAATGTTGAAAAAGAAAAGCAAAGCTGGTGGCATCACAATTCCAGACTTCAAGCTCTATTACAAAGCTGTAATCATAAAGACAGGAGGGTACTGGCACAAAAACAGACACATGGATCAATGGAAGAGAATAGCGAGCCCAGAAATGGACCCTCAACTCTATGGTCAACTAATCTTCGACAAAGCAGGAGAGAATGTCCAATGGTAAAAAGACAGTCTCTTCAACAAATGGTGTTGGGAAAATTGGACAGCCATATGCAGAAGAATGAAACTGGACCCTTTCCTTACACCACACTCAAAAATAGACTAAAAATGGATGAAAGACCTAAATGTGAGACAGGAATCCATCAAAATCCTGAAGGAGAACACAGGCAGCAACCTCTTCGACCTCAGCTGCAGCAACTTCTTCCTAGAAACATTACTTTCATTATATATTTTTACATTTTCACTATATTTGAAATTAGCTTCTTATAGAAAACATGTAGTTGGATCAAGTTTTTTTTCTTACTCTGCAAATCTCTGGGTTTTTTGTTTTGTTTTGTTTTGTTTTTTGACAGAGACACAGCGAGAGAGGGACCACAAGCAGGGGGAGTGGGAGAGGGAGAAACTGGCCTCCCACTGAGCAAGGAGCCCATATATGGCTCGATCCCAGGACCCTGGGATCATGACCTGAGCTGAAGGCAGACACTTAATGACTGAGCCCCAGGTGCCCCACAAATCTCTGTTTTTAATTGGTGCATTTAGACCAAGTAGTAATTATTGATAGGTAGGGCTAGCTAAAAATAGCTAGGCTATTTTTGTTTGTTTGTTTTCTGTTCTGTTTTTTGTTTCCTGTGGATTAGTTGAAAATGTTTTTAGAATTGCACTTTTATTTACCTCTGGTACTTTTGAGTGTATCTGTTAGTATAGCCTTTTTAGTGGTTGTTCTAAGAATTACATTATATATCCATAATTTATCTCAGTGTATTGGTGTCAACATTTTGTCAGTTTCAGTGAAATGTAGAAAATTTTGCTTCCTTTATCACTCTTTACTCTCACATCTATAACGTAATTGTCTTAAATATTTCCTCTTTGTGCATTGAGATCCACTGTTATAATTTTTGCTTCAACCATCAAATATAATTTAGAAAATGCAAGAGAAGGAAAATCTACCCTGTTTTTGCATATTATTACTTATGATGCTATTTCTTCTTGATGCTCCAGATTCCTTCCTTTATAATTTTCTCTCTCTTCAGAGAACTTCCTTCACCCAATTTTTAGGGTAGGTCTGTAGTGACAATTTTTTTTTTTTAGTTTTCTTCATCTGGTAATGTTTTGATTTCCCCTTCATTACTAAAGGATATTTTCATTAGATACAGAATTTGTAGTTGACAATTCTTTTCTTTCAACACTTAAAAATGGTGTGCTATGTCCCTCTGGCCATTAAGATTTCTGATGAAAAATATGCTGTCATTTGAATTGTTATTACCAATAGTTAAGATTTCTCTTGTTGCTTTCAAGATTTAAAATTTTAAATTTATCTTTAGTTTTAAGAAGTTTGATTGTCTGGGCATAGATTTCTTTGGGTTTATCCTGTTCAAGATTTCCTCAACTTCTTGAATCTATAGTTACATTTTTTGCTAATTTGGGGAAGTTTGCAGCCATTATTTCTTCAAATACTTTTTCAGTTTCATCCTCTTTCTTCTTTCCTTCTAGGACTTTTATGACATGTATGTTAGATATGCCTTATACTCTCACAGGTCTCTGAGGCTCTGTTCAATTATTTTCCAATCTATTTTCTCTCTGATGTTCTGATAAAGTACTTTCTTATTGTTCTATCTTCAAGTTTATTGATTCTTCACTCTGTTCTTTCCATTTTGCTTTTTAGTCCATCCATTGAGGTTTTTGTTTTTGTTTTTGTTTTAGCTATTGAGCTTTACAATTTTAGAATTTCTATTTAGTTATTCTTTACATATTCTATTTCTTTCCTGAGATTTTCTGTTTTGTTGCTGAGACTTTCTATTAAGTCTGTTTTTTAAATTTTTATTGAAGTATGGTTATGATGGCTGCTTTAAAATCCTTGTCAGACTATTCTAACATTTCTGTTATCTTGATGTTGACATCTGTTAATTGTTTTTCTTATCAAGGTAAGATTTTCCTGGTTCTTAGAATGACTAGAGATTTTTTAGAAATTGAAACCTGGACATTTTGAGTATTATGTTATGACTCTGAATCTTATTCAAATCTTCTGTTTTAGTAGGCCTCCTTTGATACTGAAACAACAGAGGACATGGGGCACTGCCTGTTACTGCCAGCTGGGGGTGGAATTCCAGGTTCCCCACTCAGCCTCTGAGTTGACACCAGTCAGGGAAGGAGCTCCTTGTTCCTCCTGGGCAAGGGTAGAAATTGTGGTTCTGTATGAGGGCCCCACTGATTTCACCCTGGTTTGGATGTAGAGGGGTGCCTTATTACTGTACCCGAGTTGGCCTTCACTGACATTGCAAGGTGAGTGGCCTCATTTCTGTTGGGCAGCGATGAAAGTCTTGACTCTTCATTAAGAAAACTCTGACATCACCCCAGCAGGGAGATGGAACAGTATATTATTACTGCTGGATAAGGTGAAAGCCTAGGCTCCTTTCATACTCTCAACTAAACCACAGTGCTTGGGGTCTCATTTTTTTCCTGGTGGGGATGAAAATCCCATCTCTCCACCCTGCCTTCTCTAACACCAACCTGGTAAGTGGTGTTGGTGGATCTTTTTAGAGCCTGGTGAGGGAGAAAGTTTAGGTTCCCTCTTGGACTTTGATGGTTTGGGTAGAAGTATAAAGTTGAAGGTTATTCTCTGTGGTGTTTGGTTGGAATAGAGTGGTTATTATCTAAAAGTTCTCTGCCTTGCTAGGCTGCTCTTTTCATGGTCCTTTGGCTAGAGAGAGCAGGCTTTTCTAAAAACTTCTGTTGTCTGTATCCAGTGGTGTTTCTGGGTTACTGACTTCTCCAACACCAGTCTGTGATACATGAAGCAAAAAGAAAACCCAGGAACTCACTTCTGTGTCACTTTGGTAGTTGCAATGTTCCTAACCAGACTTCCTTCTTCTTTCCACCTTTCTGAGTCTTTTCATGTTAGTTTTATACATAGTAATGTCCAGGGCTTTCAGTTATACTTAGAAGGAATAGGAGAAAGTATTTCTACTACATCTTTCCAGAAATGAAGTTGCCTGTTTTTTAAACAATTTTTTAAATAAGTGAATTTAATCTAGTAAAAGGGATTTTCACCCTCCTCTTTAAAATTTGAGATGTTTCTATACTTCAAGGTATATTAGTTTATATTAGGTTAATTAGTATTATATTCTTCCCACTTCAGGAAAAATCCATACATTTTGCAGCATACTTAAAGATGTTCATTTTGTTTTTTGAAGTTTGACTGCCTCATCTTTTCTAATCTTTAAATAAAAAATAAAAGCAAATTTAAGAATTTGCTGATAGAGTTCTGTCTTATGAGAAAGATGATACTTCATCATGGAAAAAAAATAATAGACTCTTGTTCTAATCACATAGCTATGATGTCTTCAGGAATACTGATTGAATTACTTATGCATGTTACTGACAAAACTCTTTGTATCACTATTCTAGTAATGCTATATAAAAAATAAAACTGTTAATAAGTTTGCTTATGAGAACAGGAAAATAAGACTACTATCACTTATATTGTCCATTTGTAAATGCTAGTAAATAAAAACCATCAATCCTTTTCTTTCTCCAGATGAGGGGTATGTCTGATAAATCACTCCGGCTAGTGCTGTCCACATTCAGCAACTTACGGGAGGAGCTTGGACATCTTCAAAATGACTTGACAGTAACACTTATTTTGATTTTTCTTTCCAAAGCCTTCCTAGTTCCTAACATAGAAATGAAGTCATTCAGTCCACCTTTCAAAACTTAATACAATGCAACAATACTATGCTTACCCAGACATAGTTATTTTCTTAAAACAATTAATTGAGGTTGAAAGAGGATATAAGAACTCTCCAATGTCAAAATAAAAGAACATTGGGTAGGCACTTATTATTTAGTTTACCACTAAGGTAATTTAATACCTATAGCCAGGAAGTAGCTTGCAAAATTAGAATACTCTAACTCATTGAATGGGAATTTCCCCTTTTTCTGTAATAATAAAGCATACTCTGAATTTTTTTGAATACTTGTAAACTTCCTTCTCCAAGAAGTTAGCCTTTTCTATTTTCCATTTTAGTTAGTGTTTTTGATGTCATTAGCTAACTACATTCAGAATACCCTCCATATAATGAATAACTCCCTGAAAACCGGAGTTTTAGTTTTCTGGGTTCTGATGAACACATTTAGACTCTAATTTGGAAATTCACCACCTGCTGGGGTTAACAAGGAGTCTTTGTAGATTTAGACAAAACATTAAAATAATTTGAAGGTTCTGTTTTATTGAATTTATAATTAGTCAATTCATCAAAAGTTCTCTAAGATTGCAGGTTTTTAAAGTTTCATCCATTTGTATCCTATATTTTGCTTGGCATTTTAGAATTCTGTTTTATCAGGCAACTGCAAATGAATGAAGTGCTTATTTAAGCCTTCCAATGTAAACTAGCCTTGTACTATGTAACTGTTGACAAGTTTCTGTAATTCCGAATCTTAACAAGTAATTTTGCTTCTAGTCACTGGAAAATGACAAGATAAGCCTTGAGAAAGATGTGGAATTCAAAGAAAATCAAATAAAAGAGTATGAAGAACTCTTGGCATCAGTGAGAGCAAATAATCGCCAGCAGCAGGTAAGTTGATATCTTCATTGATGATAAACTAGATTGATAGCTTTTCATATGCAGAATTACTGACACACTGTAGTTATGACATACAATCAAGACAGAATTAAAATATGATGGAGCAATTTATTCATATAAGAATTGAGTGGCTTTGATTATTTCCAATGACTGAAAGCTCTCTCATAAAAACAGATAACCTTGTATACTTTAAAGTATACTAATCAACAATTATCTGTGCTGTTGGGTGACAAGAACTGTGTAAATATTGAAAAGCTAAGTTCACTCATTCATTTAATCTACTAAAGTGTTGATAAAAAAGGTTTTGTAGGTCTTAACACACGTTTGTGCAGTGAATAAACAAATGAACTCTAGAAATACTCTCCAGATATCTGAGCAGAGATGATTTCTAAGAAATTGTAATGAGCCTCTAAGGCTGATCCCTTCCTAATCTTCATTCCCATGACAGTCCCAATTTTTTCCTCAGTTTCCACATAAATAATCAGGCATATGGTCATATTGGTGCCTACTGGAAGGCGAAATATTGTTGAAGAGTACCGAGAGTCAGATTGCAAAATTGGAACACTGAAAATTCATCCAGTCTTGATCCCTTCTCACTCAAGATAAGCATATCAGACTAGGGGCAAGAATCTCTTTCATGGCTGATTTAACTTACCATTTAAGGGTATATATATAAGAAAACTGGGCATGGAAAAAATATTTACTTTATTTCCTTGAATTAATCAACTAAAAGAGCACTCTCCTCCAAAAAGGTAGAATCCCTTTGTCTTACTTACTTGTGTCTTCTTTATAGCAAGGACTTCAAGACTCAACCTCAAAATGCCAAGTATTGGAAGAAAACAATCTATCTCTTCGACATACACTATCAGACATGGAATATAGACTCAAAGAACTGGAATACTGCAAGCGTAATTTAGAACAAGAGAATAAAAATCTTAGAATACAGGTATTAAAATTTTGTTTTAAATTTGTTATTGCCTTAGTTATACCATTGTATAGTATATATATGTCCTATTCCTCTTGAGAAAATATATGGACTGCTTTCTGATGATCTTATATGTAGTTATGTCTCATCTCACTGACATTTGAGCTATATAGTGCAATTCCTAAAAATCGCTCTTATTATTTCAATGCCTCATTTAATCATGTAGCTTTCATCTAATAATAAGTCTGATAATAAAATATGTATTTCCTTCATAACAATCCAATTACATAAATTTATTTTGCCTTGTGTAGGTTTCTGAGACTTGCACAGGCCCGATGCTGCAGATGAAAATGGATGAGATTGGCAACCATTACATGGAGATGGTAAAAAACTTAAGAATGGAGAAAGATAGAGAGATCTGCAAGCTAAGGGTATGTTGATCCTACAGTGCATAAATACACAGGTCAGCACAAACTTTCTAATAAGATAATGATGGTTTCAAGTTTAAAGCTACAAGGAAAAATCAACTAAAGGCAGAGTCAGGAATATGACACAGAAACTTTTGTTTAAATACATATTACTGTGTAGAGAATATTGCTAAATTGTTTTCTAATTTAGGTTAATCAAAATAAGGGTGATATTTGTGAGAATAAGTATGCATTGCCTTATCTTGTAATTCTAGATCAAATTGACTAACTCTTAATTTACTGATTCCTAAATATAGTTAAATATACTTAAATATTTAATGGAAAAACCAACCATAGATTTTTCTCTCCAAATATCATGGTGGAATTTTTTCCAAAAACCAAAATGAAACAAAATATAATTTTTTCAAAAGCCTACCATTTTTTCTTACAGATTTCCTTCACTTGTTTCCTTTTCATCCCGACACTACTTATAACATTTTAACTTAACAGCCATCTATGCACAGCTAACATAGTATAGAGGAAAATGGGGAGGATTTGGAGTCAGAATATCTGTCTTGGATTTGCAGCTATGTTGCTTACTAGTTGTGGGACTGTATGTCATGTAACCTCTCTGGTAATCTCATTTACCTATTTTGTAAATAAGGATTTTAATAATACTTATTTCACAGGCCTGCTGTGAGAATTGAGATAAATCATGCAGGAGGAATATTTTGTGAACTGCAAATCACAATATAATATTAGTTATTATTAGTGAGTTTTCTTTAATTAGTATTTGAAGGAATTCTAAAGTACCTATTTTCTTAGCTTTATTTTAATTCTTGTGGTTTAGGATTGTTACTTAAGTAATGCTTAGCCCTAAATAGTAAAAGATATCTTTAAAAAATGAGAAATGCCTAATTGGCATTTTATTCATATTTTACATTCATTAAACTCTACAAATGTTTACAACTATTGGTACTTCACTCTTCATTTCGTAACTTGCAATATGACTTTATGTCACTAAACCTCTTGGAACTCAATTACCTATTTCATAAATTAGATTTATAATTCTTCTTTCTTTTAAATCACTAGACTCAATTAAATCAGTACCAAAAAGATGTTTCAAGAAGAGAAGGAAGTTGCAGTGACTTCCAGTTCAAGCTTCATGAACTGACAAGCTTGCTGGAAGAGAAGGATTCCCTTATAAACCGTCAGTCAGAGGTAAGAAGGGAAGTGGTAGAGGTAGAGAGGAACTCAGTTAAGTATGATAAATACTTCCCATGAACTAGAGAAGAGCACATTCCCAAAACTCACTTTATTCATGAAGTAGAATGTAACTGACTGTGAAGAAGTGAAAGATTCATATTTTAGGAGATATAATTCAAATGAAAGCAAGAATTGAAACAAAAAATTGTGTTATTGTGCATTTAATATTTTTAATGCTATATCTCGTTAGCAATGATACTCCCAGTAAGACTGTGAGCTTTTTACTCTTTACTATTAGCTGCTTCAGCAAAGGACTGTGTTATATTCCTCTCTGTATCTGTAGCATATGGCCCAGGATCTGTTATAAAATAGCATTGAAAGAAGGAACTACCAAAAATGGTGGCTAATGTTATATCGCTGTTATTGAACTAATGGTGCTTGTAGTAATGATCAGTGATAGACCTTCTGTTAGGAACCAATACCTGCTTCCATATTGAAGTTTCAGTACTTTTCAGCTATGACTATACTTTTCAAGCTTCTTAGGACAAAAAATTTCTCATCTTTATCTTGAGAAACATGCCCATTCAATATCATGTTATCTCTTAAATATAGAAATCCTATACCATTTAGTGAATTCCTGAACAGGCATATTATATAACTTATTAGGTACCATAAAGCAATAATATATGGTATTCAACAGGTGGGGTTGTGGGGTTCTAACTCATGTCCAAGCTAAAAGAGAAGGAAAAAAGTAATTGTTCTTAGTAACCTTGTTAAATGATCGAACATACTTCTTACCTCATGTTTCTACTGTTTTCAAATAATTGTATTGTCTTTTATTTGTAAGGAACTCTCAAAGTTGAGGCAAGAAATGTATTCATCTCATAATCAACACTCCAGTGGTGGAAGGACTACTATTACCACTAAAAAGTAATGTATTTTTAAATGAAATTTGAATATGACTTTAGCTATTATTTAATCCAAGTTATAGCATGTTTAATTGATATATATAACCCTAGACAGAGTTTGTTTTCTGCAGGGCAGTAAATCTAATGAAGAATGAATATTTACACAAAGACATAGCTGTTATGGAAAATAAAATTCTGTAGCACATCTTTCCTATATTTACGATGTAAGTGAAAAACAAATTGTTTAACCAACCATTTGAGTCAAGATTCTTTCAGTTGCACATGCCAGAAACCCAATTTAAACTGGGAATTAGTTAATTCACTTAGTTGGGATTGCTTGGTGTCCAGATAGATTTGTGTGCTCAAAATATGTCTTCAGAAATATGTCCTTCTTTATCTCTTAGCTCTGCTCTTTCCTATGTAGACATCATTCTTAGGCATCTCCCCTTATAATAGCAATCTGACCACAGCTGACATCCCAGCAATTTAGCAAAATGAAATAGAAAGTGACTCTTTGGAAATAGTTTCAGCAAAAGTCTATTTTGGATATTTCATATAAATGGAATAAAAATGTGGTCTTTCATGACTGGATTCTTTCACTTTGCATAATGTTTTCAAGATTCATCCATGTTTGGGCGCCTGGGTGGCTCAGTTGGTTAAGCGACTGCCTTCGGCTCAGGTCATGATCCTGGAGTCCCGGGATCGAGTCCTGCATCAGGCTTTCTGCTCAGCAGGGAGTCTGCTTCTCCCTCTGACCCTCCTCCCTCTCATGTGCTCTCTCTCTCTCTCATTCTCACTCTCTCAAATAAATAAATAAAATCTTTAAAAAAAAAAGATTCATCCATGTTTTAGTTTGTGTCAGTATTTCATTGCTTATTGTTACTAAATAATATTACATTTCATGGATATACAACATTTTATGTATACAACTAGGAGTGGGATTGCTGGGTTACATGGTAACTCTGTTTAACTTTTTGAGGAGCTGCTAAACTGTTTTCCAAAGCAGCTACACAATTTGACATTCCCACCAGCAGTGTATTGAGGGTTCCAAATTCTCTCCATCCTCCCCAACATTTGTTACTGGTCATCTCTTAGATTATAGCCATTCTAAGGGTGGGAGGTGGCCTCTTACTGTGGTTTTCATTTGTATTTCTCTAATAATTAATATTTAGTATTTCTTCATGTGCTTATTGGCCATTTATAGATCTTCTTTGGAGAAATGACTGTAAAAATTCTTTGTCCATTTTTAAATTAGATTATTTGCTTTTTTACTGCTAAATTGTAAGAGATATTTATATATTCTGGATAGAAGTCCCTTATCAGATATATGATTTTGCAAATATTTTCTTCCATTCTATGGGTTGTCTTTTTACTATCTTAATAGTATCATTTGCAGCACAAGTTTTTAAATTTGAGGAAGTCCAATTAACCTATTTTTTCTTTTCTTACTTGTGTTTTTGGTATCATATTAAGAATTCATTGTCTAATCCAAGGTCATGAAAATTTGCACCCCTGTATTCTCCTAAGAGTTTTATTTATTTTATTTTATTTTTTTAAGATTTTATTTATTTATTTGTCAGAGAGAGAGAGAGAGAGCATAAGCAGGGGAAGCAGCAGGCAGAGCAGGCAGAGGGAGAAGCAGGATGTGGGACTCGATCCCAGGACCCTGGGATCATGACCTGAGCCAAAGGCAGATGCTTAACCGACTGAGCCACCCAGGCGTCCCTCTCCTAAGAGTTTTATAGTTTTACCTATTACATTTAGATCCATGAACCGTTTTGAGTTAATTTTTTCTATTGTGTGAAGTAGGAGTCCAAGTTCATTCTTGTGCACGGGGCTATCTGGTTGTCCCAGTATCTTTTGTGGAATATGCTATTCTTTCACCCATTGAATTAACTTGGCATCCTTATTGATAATCAAAAGACCATAAATGTAAGGGTAAATTTGTAGATTCTCTGTTTTACTCCATTGATCTATTTGTCTGTCTTCATGCAAGTACCACACTGTCTTAATTATTGTAGCTTTTTAGTTACATTTTGACACCAGGAGTGTGAGTTTTTAAACTTCTTCTTTTCAAGATTGCTTTAGCTATTTTTGGTCCTTTGCTCTTCTATATGTATTTTGGGATAAGCTTGTCAAGGGATTTCATTAAATATGTAAAAAACTTTGGGTATTATTGCCATGCTAACAATATTAAGTCTTTTAATCCTTGAGCATGGGATCCTTTTCCATTTAGATCCTCCTTAATGTCTTTTTTTTTTTT